GACTATTGAATAGTCGACTAAGATGAGGTTACTTGACTATTCAGTTAGCCGATATTTCACATCCCTAGTCCATACTACCAAGCTCATTATTTTGAAATAAGGGGTTGGTTATTTCAGAATAATAACTCCTGCTTTTCTTGGGGAATAAATTGATTTTGAAATAGTTATTTTGGGAGTTATTATTCCAAAATAAGTTATTTGAAATAATTTCCTAGTGTAGACTTGCCCCAATTGGTGTATGTACCTACATGTGACAATGATGTATGTTGTCACAACTGCTTCCACAATGCTAACATATTTGAGTGAAACATTCCAGTCACTAGAACAATATTCAGACCACTAGGGTCTCTCTGAAAACATCCATGATGCTGTCCTTCTAGCAGCCATGTTGCCTATGATCAGAACAGAACTGATATAGAGTTCTATTAAGTGGTCCTACATATACTGTTATTAGCTCTTACCCTGGCAGACACACATGCTTCTATTGACACACCTTTTCACATTATTTGTTCTGACTTTGCATCTTGTGACATTTCATTTTGTTTTAAAAGGGAATGTTGTATCCCATCTAGTTATTCTGAGGTTATGTCTACACTGCACACTTATTTTGAAATAAAAGAGTTCATGTCTACACATCAAGCCCATTATTTTGAAATAATTTTGAAATAAAGGGCTTCTTATTCTGACTCCTGCAGCCCTCATTTCATGAGGAGTAAGGGAAGTTGAAGGAAGAGTGTTCTTCCTTCGACTTCCTGCTGTGTAGACAGGGCCAAAAGTCGGGTTAAGCTAGTTCGGCTTTAGCTACCCAGTTAACGTAGCTGAAGTTGTATATCTTAACTTGACTTTAGCCCGCAGTGTAGAGGTACCCTGAGTGGGTAAATTTAGTCTATAGGCAGTTTTACTTCTCTCTAAATGGTACTGATGAACGAACAGCCCCACTTTTGTTGGTATTCTTTCTTATTGCCAGTTGGCAATACTAACAGTATTCACTTGCTACTGTCCTACTTCTGAAAATGTGAGTCTGTTAGGAGTTTATCATTGCATTCTCTGGATAAAATTTTTAAGTGTATTGAGTTCATTTCTCTAATCAAATTCATTCAAAAAAATTGTTTCTCTCCTCCCAAATTGTGAGCATTTTTCTTTATTGTGAGTGCCAGGGCATTCACTTTGGGGAAATTAACAGGCGCCTCAAGACAACTTGTGTTTATGCTCTTATTCCATTGACTTACCATGCCTGCTAGAGTGTGATAGGAGTAACAGCTAGGGCTGTCAATTAATTGCAGTTAACTAATGTGACTAACTCAAGAAAAAAATCATGATTAATTCCAGTTTTAGTTTCACTGTTAAAGAACAGACTACTCATTGAAATGTATTAAAAATATTTCAGTGTTTTTGTACACTTTCAAATATGTTGATTTCAGTTACAACACAGAATCTAATGTGTACTCTACTCACTTTATATTTTAATTGCGCTTGTAAAATGATAAACAAAATAGTATTTTTCAATTCATCTCCTACAAGTACTGTAGTGCAATCTCTATCTGATAGTGCAATTTACAAATATAGATTTTTTTGATACATAACTGCACTAAAAAACAAAACAATGCAAAACTGTTGCACCTACAAGTCCACTCAGTGCTACTTCTTGTTCAGTCTATCACTCAGACAAACAAGTTTGTTTACATTTACAGGGGATAATGCTGCCCTCTTATTTACAATGTCACCAAAAAGTGGGAACAGACATTTGCATGGGACTTTTGTAGCTGGCATTGCAAGGTACGTGTCAGATATGCTAAACATATTAGTGTGCCCTTATATGCTTCAGCCACCATTTCAGAGGACATGCTTCCATGCTGATTTTGTTTATTAAAACTGCATTTATTACATTTGTGACTGAACTCCTTCTTTCTTCTAATCTGCATGTATTTATAAGTGTTGTACCTGCATTCTGCCATTTATTTCACATTATAGCCATTTCAGATGATGACCCAGCACGTCTTGTTCATTTTAAGAACACTTTCACTACAGATTTGACAAAACTCAAAACAGGTACCAACGTAAGATATCTAAAGATAGCTGCAGCACTCCCCGCAAAGTTTAAGAATCTGAAGATTGGTCCAAAATCTGAGAGGAATGAGGTGTGAAGCATGCTTTCAGAAATCTCAAAAGAGCAACAGTCCAATGCGGAAACTGCAGTGCCTGAACCACCCAAAAAGAAAATCAGTCTTCTGCTGGTGGCATCTGACTCAGAGGATGAAAATGAAAATGTATCCTGTGCACAGCTTTGTTTTGTTATTAGGAATGTTAGCATATAGTCGTTTAAATGATTAACTGATAAAATGATTAACTGATAAACATGGGCTTATTGGTTAATCCACATGACTACATGCACTCCCTCCCCCCCTTGCTGCCAGCTTTTAAGTTGGCTCCCCACAAGTACCAGATCCTGTAGAGCTGCTCCTCCCCCGCCCCCCCCCACGTCCCTACACTGCTGCCTCTGATACAGAGGCAGCAGAGCAAAGAGTGAGGGAGGCAGGCAGAAGCCGGTACACGCGGGAAGCCAGCTTTTAAGCCAGCTCCTTGCACATGTCCACTCCCCCCTCCCCTTGCTGCCTCCCAAAGTGGCAGGGGCAGGTAGGCGGCAGCTGGTGCTCAGGGGGAGCTGGCTTTTAAACCTCCATGTTAGCAGCGCAGGATGGTGGGGTCTCCCCAGAAGTGGGACCAAGAGCACACTGTCTGCTGGCTCCTCCCCTGTGGACAATCAAATAATCATGTAACCACTAAGATTTGGTGCAGTTACACGATTATTATATTAAATAATATCTAATATCCCTAATTGTTATCTAGCAGAACATGTCATTAGCATGGACAGATGTCCTCTGGAATAGCAGTCGAAATATGAAGGGATATATTAATCTTTAGTGCATCTGGCATGTAAATATCTTGTGATAGATGTTACAAAAGTGCCTGTTCTCACAGTCAGGTGACATTGTGTACAAGAAGTGCAAAGCATTATCTCCTTCAAATATAAATAAAGTGGTTTGTCTGAGCAATTGGCTGAACAAAAAATAGGACCGAGTAGACTTCTAGGCTCTACAGTACTTGCAAGGGGGCACTTCTCTGGCTGGCAACTCCTCCTAGGGGCTGGGTCTCAGGGGCCAGCCTTGGCCTTCAGGTGGTCTGTGGGGGAGGCTCTGGGGCTGGCCCCAGCCTCCAACAGCCCCCCCCCGGGCCAGAGGCTGCAAGCCTCCAGGGGCTGGCCCCTGCCTCCAGTGGCCCGCTCTCTGGAGCAGCTGCAGGCAGTGGGGGTGTGCTGGATGCTAGGACATGGGGTAGGAGGTGTGGGTACAGGAGTCAAAAACAAAGAGACACCTTAGAGATTAACAGATTTATTAGGGTATAAGCTTTCATGGATGAAACCCACTTCATCAGATGAATTGGAGTTTACAGACGCATGGGTGTATATATAAGGACAACAAAAGAAAGAGAGAGTACTTGTGTAAATGAGGCTAATGGAATCAGGGTGAGAGTGGCTCATTCACAGCAGTTGATTTGGAAATGTGGATATCAAGAGAGAGGAAACTGCCTTTGTATATAGTGCATGAAGTGATCATTAGATTGAGCTCATGTTAGCACCATTCATGGTAAATGAAGGGCCATTCTGATGCGCTCTTGCTTAGTGGAAGCTAGGCTTTCTGAGCGGCTGACCTGTTGGGCATTATTAATTGTAAACTTGGTATACCCTGCATTAATTGGGTTCTGTCCACAGTCATAATTGATTTATTGGTTGTTCCTTCTTTTTTCACGAGATGATGCTCTGCTGTCATAGAATTTGAGGATAGTTTAGCCTTCTCTGCTGCCAACTTCTCTAGAAACTTCAAGTTCTCTTGGCATCAGTATGATAAGATTTTGTCAGCCAACTACTCTGTATGCTAAATTTCTTCACTGATATTAAGTATCTTAAACCCCAAAAACAATATCTTGAATTTATTTTTGATAAGCCAAATTTCTTATGATGCATAGCAGTAAATCACTTTTTCTTTTTATCCTTCATCTCATATATCTTGCTAGTTATGTTGCTGTTCTGATATACTATAGCTTTTAATAAAGGACAAATTCTACAACAACAAAGGCAAGAGAATGTTTTCCCAGTGGGGGGAAGCCTGTCTTTAGAGGACCTTCTCAGATTTTCTTATTAGATTATTCACTTTCTTAGTACAATACATATTTTACTTTTTGATTTACCTCCCTTACAAATATGCTTTATTCCTCAGTAGTGTTCATGTTTCAACTATCCTCCATTGAGGTTCCTGGTGTATTGATCCATTTTATTTTTACATAACAGGATTTTTTTATACGTATTCAAATCTTAAATTTAGTTTCCATGCTTCAGGAGCCTGATTAGTTTGCTGGCAAGTCATCTCCTGCCTATGCAGTTCTTATGCTACTGGGAGAGACAGAATATTTGACTTGACATTCATGATGAAGATTGACTCTGTTAAGGGACAGAATTTGTATCTTCAAAGCAATCTATGCTAGTGGGCCAATATTTAACACTGATCAACACTGGGGCATGAAGAGGAAAATGTAGAATATTATACCATGATATTATATATCAAAATGTTGTTATTCCTAAAAATAAAGTTGGTTCAAAAAGATATTAGGGAAGATTTTCAAAGCCAAGTTATTTAGAAGCATAAGTCCTGTTTTCAAAGATGACTTAGAGATTCTGGAACCTAAGTCTAATTGAAAGTCAATGGGGCTTAGCCTCTGGAATGCCTATGTCATTTCTGAAAATGGGACTTAGATGCTTTTGAAATTTTTACCCATCCTCATGTTATTCTGTAAAGCCCCTCAGTATAATTGGACTATGGAAATTTTGTACACCTGAGAATTGAACTCAAGATTTTTATCTGTTACAGGTTTTCAGGATTTTTTTTTTAAATTGCAGTGAGCTGTGCTTTATGAGGATAGCTAAATATTTCATTTTATTCTTTTAGAAACGAGTATGCAAGAGTTTAGAGACTGTTCCAAATGAGAGTGATTTTTGCCACCAAGTAAATGAATGTGCTATGGATTACTGGACTATGGAGCAGGATTGTAAACAGAAAGGTTCCACAGAACAATGTATTCCTCAGGCTACCAAGGAAAAGCGAAAATCAATGGTATGTTTATATCATCAATAGTAACTATATTAGTAGAATATGTTTAACATACATTTTATTATATATTTGCAAGTGATTGCTTTGCTGAGAATTTTGTGTATGTTTTTGTTAATTAGATTTTTCAAAATCATGAAAGCAAAGGTACTGCCCAGCCTTGCCTCAGATGTATTGCAGGAGAATCTGTAAGTATATTAACCTTCTTACTGTGACATAAAAGACAGATTTCTTCTTAAATATTAGATCCATAAAACATAAAGTTAATAAAAATCTCAATTACATCTCAAGAAAAAAGCATGTAAATAAAAAAGACAGATTGATTTAGCTTTTCCATGCTAGCAGAGTAAAACTAATACGTTTCCAGCATTAGTTTGAAAATATAGAGCTTGCAAACACATTTTTCAAATTTGCTCTAAAAAGTAGAGTTTACTGAAGTAACTGAATACTTTTAAAGTAAAAATAATACCTAATTTCCTCTTTTCCACTAGTATTTCTCCTTAAGATAGCTAAGAAAAGTAGAGTTCCTGAACAGTTTATTCAGATTTTTTGAAGGTTCCTCTTTACTATTTTTAGATATTGAGTTGAGTAGTACAGCTATGGTGTGATGCTTTGAGGGTTCACACAGGCCAGTAAGGCATTCTGTCACCTCCTGCCCTGTGACTTTGGCAGCCTCTGTGTTATACAACTTTGGCTCAGAGCCCTGACATTTGCAACATGCTCAAAGCAGCATGTTCTCCCCCTGCCTTTCACTAGCCCAGTTACTCATTGCAGGGTGAGCCCAACATCTTTACAGTTTGAGTCTCCCCAAAGCCATTTCCCCTGCAATGTCCAGTCTCTCTTATTGGATTTTCAGAGAAGTAATGCTGAGTTTACTGCCTTCAAAGAACCAGCCCAAAAAGCTTGTAAGGCTTGCTAGAGTTACACTCAGTAGCACCTACAGATCGTTTATAGTAAAACTAAAAGTAAGTTTCTTAAGAAAGCATAGGTTTAAGTCAGGGGTGGGCAAAATATGGACCGGGGATTGGATCTGGCCCACCAACAGCCTGCAGCCCATTGAAAGCAGTCAGCTGCGGGGGCCATGTGCATCTCTGCATGGTGCTGCTGCGTACTTTATGGGGTGGGAAAGGGCTGTAATAATTTTTTATATATTTAAACTAATATTTCCCATCATACTGTTTAAATGTGAATATATAGTTCTACAGTAAACAAAGCAATGAATTCACAGTGTTGTGGCTATTTTGGTAATGATCACTAATTTGGTGAACTACTGAGGTCTGAGTATCACTCATCTAGGGTGAAATTGTGGAGCTGGCAAAATGCCCATTGACTTTAAGAGGGCCAGGATTCCATGCCAATAGTCAAAAGTTGTAACATTAATGGTCAGCATTGAATTGAGTTTTAACCATCTTTTTTAAAAAAAATTAAATAAAGAAGCCTGTTATAAATCTTAGTCCATTGAGGAATAAGCATCTCCTGTAAGGCACCTGCAGCCAGATTTTTAAAAGTATGTAGGCACTTAAAGTTGCATAAACTTTTACTTGGATTTTCAAAAACATACAAGTTTGTAACTTAAGGTGATTTCAATGGGAGGCAGGCACGAGGGATGTTAAATATTTAGTAATTGAATATTTGCTAAAATTTGATGCGGTTACACGATTATTCAGTAATCTCCGGGGGCAGGGCCGGCAGCCAGTGTGCTCCCGGCACCACTCCAGGGGAGACCCTGCCACTCCATGGCTGCTGCCTCTTGTGAGATGGCAGCAGCTGCTATCTGTGGGAGCTGAGCTTCCCACAGTCAGAGGTTGCACCAGCATCCCATGGAGCAGCCTCCCCTGCTCCCCTTCTCCTCCTCTCCCACAGCTTTGTTGATCTGGTGCTCAGGGGGAGACGGCTCCTGCCTGCCCTCCCCCCATACTACCTCTGCATGAGACAGCCAGGGGGGCAGGTGGCTCTGCAGAGCCCGGACATGTGGAGAGCCAGCTCTCCACGCATATGGACTTCCACCTGACCCCTTCACCCTCTGTGCTGCTGCCTCTCTATCAGAGGCAGCAGTGCATGGGAAGCAGATGGCTCCAGGGGATCCAGTGCTCATGGGGAGCCAGCGTAAAAGCCAGGTCCCACCTCATTCCTCCTTTGCTGCCTCTTTTCTGTTAATCATGTAGTCAGCTATAAGTTGACATCCCTCATAGGCACCTAGGTATATTTGAAAATCTCAATAGACACCTCAGTATGTCTGTAGGCTCGTACATATCTTTTAAAATCTGCCCTTGACTGTCTTCTCATCCCACTGAAGGCACTGAAAAATTAACTAACTTGAATTACTAAGTTTTGTAAGCTTGTGTTGTGGACATGCCTTTCTCCACATGAAGACTTCAAAGTACTCCTTTGACTCAAAATCCCAAAATTGTTTTGGGATGTTAGAGAAGTCAGTCTTTGACCTCTAACTTTTTTAAATGGCTTTCAGAATTACAAATGCCAGCATTAATGTTAATAAGATTCTTCGGTTTTAATGGCTAGTGTGAAACTAATTTTTGATGAATTACACAGTTGCAAATTAGTACTGGAATACATTATACCCAGCTTTAGGCAATATTTGTATATACATCTTCATTTTAAATAATTTCTATTTTGGCAGTACTCTTAGAAATGTAATAGTCATGTGCCTCTCTTCCATAAATTTTATATCAATAAATGTAAGAACAAATTTGAGGGGAAAAAACATCCTAGGTAAAATTTAGCCCTGATGTAAGTGGGGTTGCAACTATGGAAGGCTAATACCATAGATGATCTGTTCATTTTGTTCTTAAATTTAGCACATTCAGTAGACAGCTATCTGATAGTGGAAAAGAATTTTCTTTATCCTAACCTATTCTTATAGCTCTAGTTTTCCTATATCAGAACACCACAATTCCAAAATTGAAGATTTGTTTCCCAATGTATATTTCTGTGTGCAAAACATAAGACTTTCAAATTATACCTGTACAGGGTTTCCCTTTAACTCTTCAGGGTTTAACTATTCATCCCTAAATGGATAAATACTTTTCCTGGTTAGAGCAGAGCAATTTTAAAATGTCTAGATCAAGTGAAATTATAATGCCTTCAGTATGCCATGAGGTTATTAGGAACAAAAGCATTTATCCATGTTTCATACAGGAAATCAGAGTGTCAATGGAAGCAGAGGTCCAGGATTAACATGTAATGGCATTGACATGGATGATTGTAGATCATTATGTATAGACTCACTCATTGTTTTTTCTTTGACTAATCAGCTACTTCTGGTCAATATCATAAAAGAAGAAAACACATTTTGATTAGTTCATCAGGAACCAAACTGGTACATTATTTTCATTTGTGAAATCATGTGAAAACATTGTATCAGACTACAAGATAAAGCATAACAAAGATGTTAGTAGCTCTACTAACTACTAACTTTTTTCAGAGTTTAAACTTAATCTTAAAAGATTTAAAGAATTGTCATTCACTGAGATCCTATTTTGACACCCTCTAAAGTAATTACCCTGGAAATAATGCTCCAAAATGTGGCTGTAAGGAAGAGCCCAGATGTGGGAAGAGATAAAACATGCCTCCCCTAATTTTACAAGGAATAGCATAACATATGTTAAAGTACATTCTACAGTTTTAAGCCGAGTACAAGTGAATTAAAATAAAATGTGGCTGTTAGAATGGAGTAAATCAGACAAAGCATAATAGGCTAAGACAACCCTTTTGTGGTTAGTTGTGGGCCTATTATTAGCATTGTGTTTTGCACTGGGAAATCTTGATTTTATGCAGTTCATGGGGAATGTAAAGAACTTGAATAACACCAGCAATTCATGAACATTGCTACTTTTAGGTCTGAGCTTACAAGTATAAAGAGGATAGAATTCTAGCTTAAACTGGTTAGCTAATATAGGAAGATAACAAGGTAAAACTTAAGTTTAAATACTATGCCATGAAAAATGCAACTGTATTAAAATCTTCTCCTGGCCATCATCAATATTAGTTTATTTCATTTAAAAAATTATTACTCTTAAGCATTCTTTGGACTGGCTTTTGAATGTGAGAGAAAGAAGTGGTGGTGGGGAAATCTTGTTTATATAGGAAACCCTTGCTATTCATGGCGGGTACATTCCTGCATCCACAGCAAATGGCGAAACTCACAGATATTAGGAGTGGTGGCTCCCAGACCTGATGGTGAGCTCTCCACAGTTCCTGAACTGACCCCGGGGGCAGGGAGCCCTGGGGAACTCATAGCAGCTACGAGGAGCCAGGGAAAACTCACAATGGTTCTCGCAAACTGCAGGAAACTCTCCACAGCTGCCAGTGAAATCCCCGTGGCTCCCACTTTGTCATTTCAGGGACATTTCAGCCATATTATGGGCTTCTAGAAGAAAAGAGTCTGCAAAGCAGCAGTGTTCAGTTTTTAACACATGAGAACATGAATGTGTAAAGGCTGTACAGCTGGATTTCTGCCCCTTCCCAGGCTGGGACAGGAGACAGCGTATAGATGGGGAACCGTGAATAGCGATTCCATGAATCACATGGGTCTCCTCTATTAGGTTACACAGTGAGAGAGGGTCATTTTTTTTATCGTCATGTAAAATATGTACTCAAATAGTTTATTCAGTCCTGTAAAATGTATACGTATAAATGCATGAGATAATTTAAATTAAGTCCCCAGCCGGAAAATAAAACCTTATCCCACTTGTACTATTTTTATTAAATATATATTAGCACAGTCCAACTTCTACCATGTGCTAACATAATTACTAATGAGATGTTAAAATTGTCAATATATTGTATTATTTGCATGGATAACATTTTGACTTAACATGAAAGACTTATCCAAAACAGAGCCATGTTCCCAATAAAAATTACATTGAAAAACTTCATTGATTATCCAGATTGATTCTTTGTCCACTATGTCATTCCAGATGATCAAGGTATGATGCTTTTAGTTGTACACTGTATATTTCTCTTTGTCCAATGAGTTTCATTGCACAATGACAAAAATGCTACAGCAGTTTTAAATTACTTTTGTTTTGTGACATGTGAAACTTTGTCATTTCAGGGACACTTCAGCCATATTATGCACTTCTAGAAGACAAGAGTCTGCAAAGCATCAGTGTTCAGTTTTTAACACATAAGAACATGCATGTGTAAATGCTGTACAGCTGGATTTCTGTACACACCCATTCAATTAACAATGTGGATTTCAGTTTGTTATACTTTATGTAGGATGGTACAGGTTGAACTTCTGTAGTCTGGTACTCTCAGGACCTGACTGGTGCCAAACCAGAAAATTTCCCAAACCACAGGAGGTCAATATTGTCTAGCAGAATTACCAACACTTCCATTCCTTAGAGGGCTCTTAGAAGACATTCGGTGTAAAATAGAGCTTAATAATAGCACAGAACACTGAGACACAAGGCTGCTGGCAGTAAACAAACTTTATGGGGATGTGGGAAACTTGGCCACATCCATGGTAAGTTGACATCCAGCTAACTAAAATCATGCCATACCCCAGATGTTGCTGGACCATAGGGTGCCAGACTCGAGGTTCAATCTGTATGCATTATGTTGTGGTTTTTAATACATAAATCCATATTTCTGTGTTTTTATATTTTAAAAATTCTTTCAAAATAACTTCCATCTTGAGCCTTCCTTTCTACTTCCTGCATTGTTTTTATATTTTAAAAATTAATTCTTTCAAAATAACTTCTATCTTGAGCCTTCCTTTCTACTTCCTGCACAAGGCCCTTCACAATGTCTAATGTTTCATTCAGACAAAGGTCTAAAGAAAGTAATGAAAATAGGTTTGACTTTAATTTGTTATAAAAGTTTAGTTAGACCAATGTTGGTCCTATCCTCTTGTTCCACATTCTGTTCCTTTTGGGTCCCTCTTTGGACACTAGTATGTGACCATCCTTCCTCAGATAAGAAAAGGGACTGCATTTGTGTCCCAGTACTGTACAGAGTGACATAAAGTCAAGGTTCTCCTTACACACACACTCACCTCATACGCCTGATCAGGGGTCAATAACAATCTTATCCTAACCTTGCACTTTTTCATCACTCATATGCCTGATCGGGGTCAATAACAATCTTATCCTAACCTTGCACTTTTTCATCACTCACCCAAAACATATCACCCAATCAGTTTTAAGAACTTTCCACTTGTTTATAAATAAAAACCATTCTTTATACACAAACACACACATTTCTATGAAAGAGAAATATTATTTTTGCAACACTCCTGCATGTGAAACTGAATGGTAGCATCTGTGCTATGCAGTTCTCTGCTTAAAGACACAACCTGTTTGCCATTGTTTGACACTAGTGGGTAAGACTCACTTGTTGTTGGTTTGGCTTTGGGGAGCCTTGTTAGAATTAACATGTTTGTTTAAAATGCCATAAACCATCTTAACTGGATATTGGCAGCGGCTGCTATTGTTTGAACATTAATCTCCATTACTTGGCAGTATTAATTATTTACATTTTATTTTTATCGTATGTCTTATATAACATTTTTCAGGCTCTCTAACAAAAGGGTTCAGTAATGCCCACAGAATGAGGGTTAAATGCAATGTCCCAGGATTTGCCCTAGGAGGAATTCACTGGTAGAAGGTTCTTGTGCAAAGGAAACATCACCAGCATATTGGTCTCCTGCCTGGGAAGCTAGTGGGCATGGCTTCAGCTCTTTTTGGCTGTGTCATAACTCCCAGAGGTGCACACAGAAAGAAATCTGTGAGCTACAGTTGTGCTCAGCTGCCGCTGAAGGGAGGACTATTTTTAAATAAGTGCCATTTGTGGAAAGCAGGAGTTATTTTGAAATAACCAGCCCCTTATTTCGAAATAACGGTCTTGGTAGTGTGGACTCACTGCTTGTTATTTCAAAATAACTCCCTAGTGTAGACCAGGGCTTACACCAGCACAAAGAAGGTATAATATACTAGCAAATCAGACTCGCAGTATTTTACTTTTTTCATACTGTCTCATCCTTTAGTGTTTCAGTGAAAGTGTTATTCATTTGAATAAACTTATATGTACTGAACTTCTCAATTCTATAATTCAGGAAGTAAATTGGATAAAATCATAACTATACATCAATTTCAGAATAGGTTGTCACAAAAATAGTTATCTTTTGCACTATATAGCAGCAGTATGAGACCTCTGCATTTAGGAATAATACTAAAAAACTGTAGAAGAAAAAAAGCTTGCCTACCTAAATTATGACAATTACAAACTGCTCTACTGTGAGAATAAACAAAATTATTGGGGACAAAGATTCTTTAACTAAATTAGAGAATGAACTCCTTCCAGTCTGTTTCAACTCTCACCTGCCCTGAGTCCCTGATGTTCTTCCTTTAGCTTTTCCACAGGACAGTCCCTGTTATTCAGGATGGTTCTCTCTGGAAACAATATAATTTCCCTTGATTTTCATGAACTAGAAAATATTGCAGAAATTGAGTGGGTGACTTTATTTCCATATCTGAATCTTTAGAGGAACTGTAGGATGCTTTGCAGTGTGTTTACATGCTGAAATAATTTTGAAACCCCCCCCCACCCACCACCACCTATGGAATATAAAATGTGTGTCTAAACAGGCCAGGATGAAAATCTTTGAAAATGGGATTTTAATGTATTGAAGACTCGTAACAATAGTGATATTTTTAAAATATATTATATTTGTCATCTAGTTCCAGGCTTGCAATCAGAATGGTAACACTGTTGTAATGAGTACAGACAAATACAGATTTGGCATTCTTCAGAACAGACTTGTGTTAAATTTGCATTAGAACCACACCATTGTTGTTTTGAGAGCTTTCCTTACCATATATATCACTGTGGTATTTTGGTATTATTGATAATGTTATATACACTGTATTTCCTAATATTTATGCTTTTGTACACAAAGAAACCTATGAAGAGGTACACTTGCATATGTACAGCAATACAGACTTGTTTCCTGGTTTTAATCCAGATATAATTGACCCAATCTAATATTTTTATCAAATCTTTTTTAACTTTGTATTTGTATATTGCTGTTCACAAAAGCAGTAACATAAAACACCACTTTGGCTTAAAAGTATGAAAGTCGCTGTTTTTCCTTCATGTTTTCATTCATAATCAAGTTACACTCTTCAGATGTTTGAAGTGGATAGGTAAATGTACACCATTTTATTTTGTACACCATTGTGGAGCCAAGGGCCATTTCCTATGCGATGCCAGACAATTCATCCTCCATCCCCACAAACATTTCCCATCGTATAATTCAATATGAAACTATTAACCTTTTCTAAACAAGCTCACTTCACCCAAGGTCTATTTTAGTAAAGTCCTAACAATTTCACTCCTACAGTCTGGGCCAGTGTCAAAAGAAAATATCTCCAAGACGTATACAAGAAGGCTGCCATCATAATGTTCACTTAACTGTTGCTTTCTTTCACAACTTTGTGGATGAACCACATGCTTTTATAGTGTTCAGCTTAAGCTTCTTTCCCCAGGAGGTTCTGTTGTGCCTAGAACAGGTTTCCTTACTGCACAAACATACCAACTGTCATTTTCTTCAGGTCTCCTCAAAGGAGAACCCACAAATGTACTTGCTCCGGGTCTCTCATTACACAAAAAAGGGCTTTATATCCCTGCTTCTTTCTCCATCATACATTGTTGCAAGACTTAAAGATCTGGGGGAATTACCAGTCCCAGAATGCCCTGTGCCTCATTTCCATCCAAACAGCAGCAGCAACTTGACTTTGAGCTCTAGAGACTTATAAATTAAACTGTCACTCTTATCTGATGAATGAGAAAATATGTTTTTTAAACTGATATATTGTCTCGCATTCATTCCAGTTCTGGTGCAGATTTCTTTAAAAAGGAACCTCAAGAAAGAAAACATTAGATTGATTACACTTACCTAATTTTTTTTCCATTTTAAAATTATATCAGAGTATTATTTATTTGTATTATTGTAGCAATTAAGAGCCCTAGTCAAGGATCAGGATCCTATAGTGCTATGCAAATGTGGAACAAAGTCCTGAGAATTCACATTCCTGAAAAAGGAATGGAATAACCTTAAAAATATTAATATTTGGAGCCAAAATGGGAGATATAGCTCCTGATTTTCATTTTGTGTAGTCATTTACATCGGTGTACAGAAGATGCAAAACTATTATATAGACCATCACTTGACAGGTTTTTTGGTTTTGTTTTGTATTGTTTTTGAGACTGGGGTCTTTTGAAGATTGAAGAAAGGATTCTTATTTGGTTACATTTCACATCCACTTTGCATGGATGCAAACTAATTACACAGCATTCAAGATAAAAGAATCAAGCCTGTACACTGATTTGAGCAATTAAGAGGGGCTGATTCAAAGTAAGAGTAAACAAGAAAGTGCCATGGTGAGAATAATACATTTTTATGTTAAGGAAGAGTTTTCTCAGTTTTCTTTTGTTTTTGGGGACAGGGATAATTATCAAACTGCACTGACACTCATAATTATTTGGCTGGATGGTGCTGGCTGTTCATGAACCAGAGTCATGAAAACAAATTCCAGTGAATAGACAATTAGAGCCATTTTCATGGGCTTGCCAATGCCAGAAATTAATACAAAAAGTTATATACTTGAAACTTGAACTAGAGTCATGCTGTAAATCATTAAGGTGACCTTTTAAATGCAAATCCAAAACCAAACTTAATGTTGATAAACCTGTCTGTTTGTCAATACTGTAAAACAACATAATGTAGTTGCGGTATATTTGTCCTACATTAAGTAAGTCACATTTCAATAACATCGTTTTATATTAATTTCTCATTTAAAATGCATAGTGCAATAACAGCAAGTCTAACATATATTTCACCATTAATCCACATGGAATGACCACAAAAGTTAATGGGAGTTTTGTATTAAAACTATTGGCCGAATATAGTCCTGATGAGTAGACATTTGACTGATATAGAACATTATTTTACCATAGTAATTTCTGAAAAGAAAAACTATAAAGTTTGTACCAATTGAGTTATAGATGCTACTCAAATATTTAAGTACCTTGCTAAATCAGGGACCGGGTGAACATGCTCTGGTTCTTTTTTTGTTTATATCAGACTTGAACAATGAAATCAAAGTTTTGCAGCACCTGCTGAGGTATCAAGTATTTTCCAAGTCCCGATTCTGCTCTGTCACACACTGAGTGAATAACAGAAGTAGTGAATCTCTCTCATACTCATTTTGGAAATTTTTCAGCTTGTTTTCTCAGTTATTAAGGCTGCCACAAAAAAGACATGTCTCTGTCAGGCAGATACAGCTAAAATCAGAGAAGGAAAAGAGAAAAACACAAAAATCTAACTGTTGTGATGTGGGTCCAGGGTTCTCCACATCTCTTTACCAACTATGTCAGTCTCCAGAAAACAGCCTGCAATAGTTTCTACTGGTGAGCCACAGGAAGAGAGTAGGTATGACGAGGTAATTCTAAGGGTCTAGCTTCCCTAGTTCTCCAGATCTTTTGGCAACAGAGTTCATGCCAAAAATAATCTAAATGGAAAGTAACACACAAAAAGCCAGCTGAAGTATTTTTAAAGGTCTGAAGTCACAACTGAGCCCCAATTTAGCCTAACCATGTCTACACTAGGAAACAATTTTGAAATTATTAAATTTGACTTAAGAACTCCCAATT